GTGGCGCAGCCAAAAAGCTTTTTTGGAAGCTTCATGTATCACAACACCTTAATTCCACAAACAGACGAGCAGCAAATTGACGGCTCACTTGACTGGGTCAAAGGGCTGGCTGGTGTCACTAGTGACCTGGGTCGCCAGTAACAAACAATGGAGTAATTAAGTAAAGTGATTACACCATTTAAAAGCATTTCATGTAGGTTTTGTAAAAAAATTTATATCTGTGGTATATTCGCCGATGCCGATATATCTGCGACATGCTCATATCGGCCGATAAAATCGGCAAAACGATATATCGGTCGGCCTCTATAAATCAATCTAAACTGCAACTACATCATTAAAAATTTTTAATTTCACATTCGTTTTAAATATAATATATTTTAAATGTAATAAATCACAACTACTGTCAGACTCTGTTCCATGTTTTGTCTGTGTCTTGCTCCCCAGGTGTTTGTTAATGTCATCCCAGGTGTTTCCCATGTGTAATTTCCAATGATCCCAGGTGTGTCTTCTTAGTCCCTTGTTATCCTGTGTTTAAAAGTCTGAGTCCTTTGAGTTAGTGTTGTCCGGTATTGTTTGTGAATGTCACTCCCTTGTGCTACGTGTGATTCCCCGCGATAAAAATAAACTCCTTGGTTTGTACTCCTGGTCTCCTGGTTTCCTCGTTCCGTGCTCCTCACAGTAGCAACCCGTGACAGAATACCGGACCCAAAAAAACAAACAAAAAAAAAAGACTTTTCTTCACGTTTGTTTTTTCCGCCTTTGTGCAAAGTTTTTGTTTTCCTTGGTTTTCCTGCCCCGTGGCTATGGAAATTGCAGCTCAATTCTCAGCCCTAGCTCGCCTCGATCTCCCCTTCTACGAGTACGCCAGGGAGTTCTGCAAGCTCGCCGTGGTGACGGCATTAGAGGACGCCGTCCTTAATCAGCTGTTCTGGCTCGGGGCCAACTACCATCGCTCCGTGGACCTCCCAGACACCACTGGACTAAGTTGGAGGGAAGGTGTCTTCCGGTGTCTGGGGAGTGTCCGGTCCCGAGCCAGAACCAGAACCAGTCCGCGGCTCACTCAAGCCCGCCGCAGTCTGCGGCTCCCCCAAGTCAGCCAGCAGTTCCCGAGTCAAGTCAGCCGGCAGTTAATGTGGCAAGCCCAAAGGACGTTAATGTGGCTAGCCCACCAAGTGTTCATGTGGGCCCAGTGTCGGTTCCAGCCCCAGTGCCCGCTCCTGGTAAGCACCTTCCAGAGAGCCCTCAAGTGCCCGTTCCCCCAGAGCTTGCTCCAGTACCAGCTCCTCGAATGCGCTTTGCTGTGCCTGCTCCTCCAGAGCGCTCTCCAGTGCCAGCACCATGTAAGCGTTACCCTGATCCCCAGTTAAGCCCATGGAGGGCTCCTGATTCCTCGTTTAGCCCAGGAAGGGTTCCTGATCCCGAGTTAAGCCCACGGAGGGCTCCTGTTCCCGAGTTAAGCCCATGGAGGGGCTCCTGATTCAGAGTTAAGCCCAGGAGGGGCTCTTGATCCCCAGTTCAGCCCAGGAGAGGCTCCTGTTCCCGAGTATAGCCCACAGAGGGCTCCTGATCCCGAGTATAGCCCACGGAGGGCTCCTGATCCCCAGTTCAGCCCAGGAAGGGCTCCTGATTCCCCGTCCATCCCAGGGAGGGCTCCTGTTCCCGAGTTCATCCCAGGGAGTGCTCCTGATCCCGAGTTAAGCCCAGGGAGGGCTCCTGTTTCCCCGTTAAGATGAGGGAGGGCTCCTGATTCCCCGTTAAGCCCAGGAAGGGCTCCTGATCCCCCGCTATGCCCAGGGAGGGCTCCTGGCCCTAAGTACAGCTCCTTAAATTTCCCAAAGTATTTTGGGGGGGGGCTCCAACCGTAGTGGCCGAGGCTGGGGCCGTGGCATCGGAGGCTGCTCCGCCATGGCCTCCCGAGTCCCCTGCTCCTCCATGGCCTCCCGAAGGGGTACTGCTCTGGAGGCCCACTGTCTCATGTCTGTCCTGAGCGAATTCCAAAGCGCCCACCCCCCCTCCCCATTGGATGTTATATGGCGTGAGGACACGCCTTCCGGAGGGGGGCGTTATGTCAGACTCTGTTCCATGTTTTGTCTGTGTCTTGCTCCCAAGGTGTTTGTTAATTTCATCCCAGGTGTTTCTCATGTGTAATTTCCAATGATCCCAGGTGTGTCTCCTTATACTTTTAAACAAAGGATAACAAGGGACTGAGTCCTTTGAGTTAGTGTTGTCCGGTATTGTTTTTGAATGTCACTCCCTTGTGCTACGTGTGATTCCCCGCAATATAAATAAACTCCTTGGTTTGTACTCCTGGTCTCCTCGTTTCCTCGTTCCGTGCTCCTCACAGTAGAAACCCGTGACAACTACATCATAACAAGTGTGTAATTACAAATATATTTAAGTACATGATATGCCTGTTAAAAGTTTCAATTGAACCCCACTCTCTCATGTACACAAATACGACAGTTAGCGGAAGCTAGAGATTACGGTTTATAAAGATTTATATATGGATATTTTTAGAAAAACTCATCAATTCACTTCAGGAGGCCTTTATTAACCCGCCGGAGCCATGAGGAGTACTTTTTATGATGGATGGATGCACTTTATTGGACTTCTATTGGACTATTGAATCTCAACAGTCATTCAATGCCATCATAAAGCTTGGAAGAGCCAGGACATTATTTTAATATAACTCCACTTATATTTGTCTAAAAGAAGAAAGTCATACACACCTAGGATGGCTCGAGAGTAAGTAAATCATAGGGTAATTTTCATTTTTGGGTTAAATATTAATTTATATTAGTTTAGCATAAATTCTTGTCATTACATTTGACAGTACACTTTAACCATATTTCAAAGACAATAGAATGAATTATAAAATTAGATATTAAGATGAATGCTTTAGTGGGTCAAAAACACTTAGCTAATTATTCCTTTGATAATACATATTCATTGATTTTCAATTAGCATGCAATTACATGTCTGAAAACATTACATTTAACTTGCATTTACTTTTAAATTATATTTCCATAATATTAACTCTTTTTAAGAGCATGCCTAAGTGTACTTCTTTTTCAAAAACGCTTATACCTGGAATATTCTTTTAACAACCACAAACATGATTTTGTTGCTATTAAGCTATCAAGACCAGTAGCATGTTAACAAAGCAATTTAGTGCATAAAGTACACCAACTGGGCACATAGCCTGAACCCTTCAAATCAGGCCATAGTGATGCTCTGCAATTCTATTGGTAACATTTCTGCGATGTTACTGAGGAGCTCAGTCAATGTCCTTGACAAACTCTGACAGAAAGCTCTTTCTGCTGACAGCAACTTTGCTACAGTAGTTTTGAGTTTCTGGCATGACTCATCAATCTATCACGCTCTCTCTTGTCTCTCTTTCTCTCTCCACAGCACTCACTCCACCTCTCCTGTCTCTCTATATGCCCATCCTCCTCCCTAAAAAGAGGAGGCTATCCCGTTATCTCCTGCGTCGCTCGGATGCAGTAGACTAATTACGGGCTTTATGTGCATCTGCTCTAGGGCTGATACCCCTATGGGGTGGGGTGGGGGGGGGGGCAACTATCTCCTCTCAGGGGCTAAATGCGGCCTAGAGAATAACATAAGAGGAGATTACATTTAGAGTGGATTTTAGGATGGAAATTAATAGTGAAGGGGGTGAAGGGAACGTGTGTTGCATAGCAAACATTAGTCTGTGCCACATCACAAAAGCCTAGGATTGGCTGTTTTATTGCCAGGAAAAGCATTTACTGGCTTCCTAAAGGTTTATAAGCTCTCGTATATGGCTGTTCTGGAAGAAGCTCTTAAAATACTCCACTTGTTGCCTCATTGAAAATGCCACACGTTTTTCATAAGTAATAGAAAGAGGCATTCAGGAATAGTCTGCTTCACTGTTGTATTTGTGCTTGGGAATCAAGAGCTGGTTATATTTGGAACTAGTATCATTTTTGAGAAAATACAGATTAACTGTTTGATTTTTTTTTTTACATTTGTTTCAATGAATGGTTTTGGGACATCTGCAGTTTTTCCACAGATGAGGACAGATTTATTAAGTAATAAATTAAAAGAGAGTGTTATATTGTGAATACAGTGAAACATAAATGCTGTTAGGCGCATTACACAGCAGAGTATTTTTATTATTATTATTATTTTTATATGGAACAAAAGCAAAAAGCATCACAAAGGCAAAGGCTACTAAAGAGTCAAAGGCTACTAAATTTAGATTTTTAGATAAATTTAGATTTTTTTTTTGTATGTTGTATACATATATACTGAGAAACTTGAATGTAATACTTGAGTTACATTATAACATGTAATGAACCATATTCAAATCGAAAGTAAAATATTTGTTATACGCCAGTGTTACTTTAGTATTATTAATTACGTAATATTTTAGTATATTTTGAATTCACTTTTACTTTTGTACTTTCAGTTTTCATTTTAATTTGTAAGTTGTATTCTATATGTTCATATATATGTATATACATATATATGAACATAAAGAATACAACTTACAAATTAAAATGAAAACTGAAAGTACAAAAATAAGTGAAGCAACAGAATCATTAAGGTGAACTGGAATCAATAAATCCTTTATGACTGCATTTCATCATGCAGCTCTGTTTTAACATACTCTATTTCAGAGAGCTTCATTTGGTTAAGAAAAGCTAGAAGCAAATCATTAGTAACTGAATGCAGACAATATCCTCTGTCCCAATGTTGTGATGACAGATAGGGGCTTTAATGCAAGTGTGTTAGACATCCATCATCATCCGTACATGTAAATGCACTGCTCTTGATGAGAAGAAATAAGTGCTATTCAATTAGTACTGAAACGCTCACGTGTAATGGCTTTGACCCGTGTATAAAACACTGTTTTCAAGCTGCCGGGCTCTCACTCGCACACAAGCACACACTCAATCATTCAGGTTTTCTCTTTCACAGCCAGCAGTCCCTTCCCAATAAAAGAACAACTTCCTCACCGAAGTCAACCAGCTTGATTCCTCCTTCTGTGGTGAGCAGGATGTTGTTGCCCTTGACATCTCGATGGATGGTTTTATTGATGTGTAAATGCTGGAGACCCTTTAGAGACAAGAGCAGACCTAAACTCACTGAAAGGATACATTTGTGTTCATATTTTAAAATATAGAGGATCATGGTTGATTTTGGATTTTACCATGAGAGATTCATGTAGGATGTAGGCTATGATGGGTTCCTCCATGCGGTCTCCTCTTTTCAGCATACCTTTAGCCAGATCTGTGACAGACCCTCCATTACACAACTGCAAACAAATACATGAAATACATTCAAATACAACATTCATACAAAAAAAAAAAAAAGCAAACATATAGAGTGCAACTTGTTACATATGGTAATACAACCCTTTTCTGTGATAAACATAAAAATAAATAAATTCGTTAAAAACACTTTTTTATCCAAACATATAGAGAGCAACCTGTTATATATGGTAACAGAACCTATAGACATATATATGGTAATACAACCTGTTTCTTGTAAAATAATAATATTAAAAATAAATACATAAATAAGATAAAAAATATATAAATAAATACATGAATTAATTATTACACAGCAGAGTATTTTTATTATTATTATTATTTTTATATGGAACAAAAGCAAAAAGCATCACAAAGGCAAAGGCTACTAAAGAGTCAAAGGCTACTAAATTTAGATTTTTAGATAAATTTAGATTTTTTTTTTGTATGTTGTATACATATATACTGAGAAACTTGAATGTAATACTTGAGTTACATTATAACATGTAATGAACCATATTCAAATCGAAAGTAAAATATTTGTTATACGCCAGTGTTACTTTAGTATTATTAATTACGTAATATTTTAGTATATTTTGAATTCACTTTTACTTTTGTACTTTCAGTTTTCATTTTAATTTGTAAGTTGTATTCTTTATGTTCATATATATGTATATACATATATATGAACATAAAGAATACAACTTACAAATTAAAATGAAAACTGAAAGTACAAAAATAAGTGAAGCAACAGAATCATTAAGGTGAACTGGAATCAATAAATCCTTTATGACTGCATTTCATCATGCAGCTCTGTTTTAACATACTCTATTTCAGAGAGCTTCATTTGGTTAAGAAAAGCTAGAAGCAAATCATTAGTAACTGAAAGCAGACAATATCCTCTGTCCCAATGTTGTGATGACAGATAGGGGCTTTAATGCAAGTGTGTTAGACATCCATCATCATCCGTACATGTAAATGCACTGCTCTTGATGAGAAGAAATAAGTGCTATTCAATTAGTACTGAAACGCTCACGTGTAATGGCTTTGACCCGTGTATAAAACACTGTTTTCAAGCTGCCGGGCTCTCACTCGCACACAAGCACACACTCAATCATTCAGGTTTTCTCTTTCACAGCCAGCAGTCCCTTCCCAATAAAAGAACAACTTCCTCACCGAAGTCAACCAGCTTGATTCCTCCTTCTGTGGTGAGCAGGATGTTGTTGCCCTTGACATCTCGATGGATGGTTTTATTGATGTGTAAATGCTGGAGACCCTTTAGAGACAAGAGCAGACCTAAACTCACTGAAAGGATACATTTGTGTTCATATTTTAAAATATAGAGGATCATGGTTGATTTTGGATTTTACCATGAGAGATTCATGTAGGATGTAGGCTATGATGGGTTCCTCCATGCGGTCTCCTCTTTTCAGCATACCTTTAGCCAGATCTGTGACAGACCCTCCATTACACAACTGCAAACAAATACATGAAATACATTCAAATACAACATTCATACAAAAAAAAAAAAAAAGCAAACATATAGAGTGCAACTTGTTACATATGGTAATACAACCCTTTTCTGTGATAAACATAAAAATAAATAAATTCGTTAAAAACACTTTTTTATCCAAACATATAGAGAGCAACCTGTTATATATGGTAACAGAACCTATAGACATATATATGGTAATACAACCTGTTTCTTGTAAAATAATAATATTAAAAATAAATACATAAATAAGATAAAAAATATATAAATAAATACATGAATTAATTAAAAACAATCAACCAGTTATATGTTAATAAACCCTGATTCCGCAAAAATAAAATAAAATAAAGCCATATTTATGCAAACAGAGTGTCACCTATTATATGTGACCCTGGAGCACAAACCCAGTCTTAATATCAGATAATCTGAAGACATTTTGTAAATTTCTTACCGTCAATATATCAAAACGTAATTTTTGATTAGTAACACGCATTGCTAAGGACTTCATTTGGATAACTTTAAATACTTTTTTCTCAGCATTTAGACTTTTTTGCACCCTCAGATTCCAGATTTTCAAATAGTTGTATCTCGGCCAAATATTGTTCTATCCTAAAAGAAATCATACATCAATGTAAAGCTTATTTATTCAGCTTTCATATGATATATAAATCTCAGTTTCAAAAAATTTACCTTTATGACTGGTTTTGTGGTCCAGGGTCACATATATATGGTAATATGTGTGGTTTCTAGAAAACAAACAAATAAAACGTTTCTGGTAAAAGAAAGAAAAATACATTTTATGCAAACATATAGAGATCAAGTTTTTATATATAATAATACAATCTGTTTCTAATAAAATAATAATAATAATAAACATGAATTAAAGCCGTCATATGGTAATACAAGCTGTTTCTATTAAAAAAAAGAAAAGAAACCATTAAAAATATTTTTATGCAAATATATAAAGAGAAACCAGTTATATATGGTAATAAAACATGTTTGTGTTAAGTAAATCAATCAATAAAAAAAAGGTGAAACAAACATTTTAAAGAGCACTTGCTTTTAAAAGGCCTCACTTTTCTAATTGTTCACAACACATTCAACACTACAGTACAACTATTTTTCCCTTTCATTATGTAGACCAAGCAGGTCAAATGATACGTTCCTCATCGAAATGCTGAAATTTACAGAGGATTGTTTACAAAGATTGCAGATGTTTGAAATGTACAGAGAGATTTTAAACAGTGCAGGGAAGCATGTTTAAAATGCAATTTTCCATTGCATTACAAAATCTAACACACGGTTTTTATAGCAACAGAATCCTTTAAAACTATCTAAGGGTTGATGATGTGGTTATGATCAATGCTAAATGCTTGCCTTCAGTCAGAGGACACAGAGGTGAAAATGGTTCTTTTTTTCTAAGGCAAGCCATCTTGAAATTACATAAAATTGTCTAGCATGTTGCCAAGGCAACAACAATACCTTCTTATTTAGAGCCATTTAAATCGACCAAAGGCAAACACGGCTGTCTTCAGCCCGCTGCTATTGTAATGGGACACAATGTTTGTATGAATGCTTTGACAGTCTCTTATTCACAATATCGCAAAATCTATTCTCTTCTATTTTGCTGAAAAAAATTGAAATACAGAGACAGAGATGTGCACTTTGTAGTTTAAGAAAAAAGAAAAAAAACATGTCTAACCAATAAAGAAAAAACAGCAAATTGCCTCTAACATTACCAATGCAACCAATTACAAATCCTTTGAAAACAATCTGCTTGATCCGGCCTTTCAGCAGAGCACTGAACACTTCAAAGAGAACATCAATGACTCACATCACTTTATGTCCCGAGAGGCCATTTACATTTTCAAATACATTTACTTCTATTTCCAAGACTCATCCCAAGGGGTTCGGATGGCAGGGTGGATAGACATGATTTCCCTGATTATGCATAAAGCTCAAACATCTGCAGAACTGAAACTATATAAAGCTGAATTGTGTCATTTCTGTGTCACTATAGCGGCACCAAACGGAACTGCAGCAATAACTGCATTTCTGCATTTTCTGAAATGTGAGAGGGTGTTGGCAAGGAGTTGCAAAGGTGGTTTTAGCTGTTTTAGCACATTGCTATTTGAGTGCTAGGGTGCTATACACTTATTGCAGGTGGGAAGTCAAATATGATATACAGTATATGATATTCGATTTCTGTTTTATATTGTCTGCCAGGGAAAACAGTTTTCAGTCCAATTTTTGTGACAGCACTCCACTGAGCCATTTTGAAGTATCATTTATGTCTGTAGCACAAACCTGTGGGGATTTAAATCTCAAAATGTAGCACTTGGTGGCCATTCACACAAAATAAATGTTTTAAGTGCAGAGAAGTGGAACAGAAAGAAATGCAAGATCTAGAAATGCATTTTTTTTTTAAGTACTTTTGTCATGACAACTCTCGGAGGGATTGGCATGGTAATGTACATGACAATGTTAATGTGTTTGGTCTTGGCGGAATAGATCTGCTACGCTGCTGCTGCAGCAGAGCAAGTACCGAGACTTGCTACTGCCAATACATCCACAACATGCTGCGGTGAGCATGTAATAAATATTGCTGCTGCAAATATAACATACATGAAATAACCCCCATATAGCATACATGAATCACCTCGTAGCAGATCTATACAGGTGGAGCTGGGGAAGGTGAAGGGTTTCCCCAAACATCAAGAGTTTCATGCCAGAACTCTGTATTTCTTTGAACTTGAGCACCATGTTTTTAGAATGCTGTGTCAAGCACAAGAAGATGTGAGATGCAAGTGCAGTGGTCAAACACGTCTGTCTAGTGCATGTTTACATAAAAAATAACTTAAAATCAGTGTATAGAAACACAAAAATGTGGTCTGTGTGAATGGACCCTTTCTGTTTGTTAAAAACAAAGACTAACAGCTCAATTGTGACTGTGTCTTCAATAAATTCAATAATATTACTTACATTTTAGACACATTATTGGGAGTTCCTTTATCTCTTTTTGCTTCGTCAATGAAAATATTTAAAAAACAAACTCACTGCAGATCGGTTTTCATGTGTCGGAGGCTCAAAGCAATTCTCAGTAGTGAAGTTACAGCCCAGAATGGATCAATGTTTTTGAACAAGTTGGCTGAATGATTCAATGACTCATTCAAAGAGACATCTGTCGCCACCTACTGGTGTAGTGATGAAACCATCAGAATGAGTCATTAAAAACCACTAAATGCACTTACTGACAACACTGCGTGACCAACTTGAGGCCATCGCGAAATCTGCATGGGGAAATATTTTGCGCAGAGTTCCAGAATGCAATGGTAAATTCTCTGCATATTTGCTTAAAATGAACTCACCCTCAGGTCATGCAAGATGTAGATGAGTTTATTTCTTAATCAAAACAATATATTTTTAGAAGATTTTGAGAAAGCGAGTCACTTGCTCACCAATGGATCCTCGGCATTGAATGGGTGCCGTCAAAATGAGGTACAGCCTGCATGTTTGTAAGAAACAAATCTGTCATTAAGGCAATTAAACTCCAAATTGTAGCTTCTGGCCAGTCCGAATAAACGAAATCCGGTAGAAGATTGTGTGGTGTGTTCTGCCGAATGTTCAGCAGCTCATCCCTGGTAAAACTGATCGTGTTTGAGAAACAAAAAACAGGAAAAACTAACAAAAACAGTACAAACACTGGAGAGCCAAACACTGCGGCTGCCGTCTGCGGCGCCATCTTAGTATCTATCTTCTTGTTATGAACCCATAATTCATAACAATGCTTCCTCCAGTGAAAAAGTCCCTCCCCTGTTGTCCTGCAATCCACAGATATATTTGTTTAGAACAGTTTTGCTTGCAAATGTGCTTGATTTGTGCATTTTTCTATCCTGATTCAGACAACTTTTTCGCTGAAGAAAGCAATATTATGGATAGAGGACTTGTGTTTTAGCTGGAAGCATCTGTTAAAATATTTGAATGATTTTTTCCCCCTTACAAACATGCAACTTTTCGCTTCACAAGACATTAATTGATAGACTGGAGTCATATGGATTACTGTGATGTTTTTTATCAGCTGTTTGGACTCTCATTCTGACGTCACCCATTCACTGCAGAAGATCCATTACTGAGCAATTGCTATAATGCTAAATTTCTTCAAATCTGTTCTGATGAAGAAACAAACTCATCAGCATCTTGGATGGCCTAATTTTTGGGTTAGCTATACCTTTGACAAAGCTCTTTACAATACATTTAGAAACATTACAAAATGTTGTTTACCTCTTTACGTTTCCTGTCTTGTTTCTTTTATAACCCCTCTTCAAAAGGGCAACACAGCTTTCAATTTAGCTTGTTCTGGACGTCCAAGTTTGGTAAGTGGTGGGCTGAAAGGGTCATTTGTCATTGGGTTGAACAAGAAAGGTGAAACGTACACTTGCACAAAAAAAAAAGTATGTTGATGGGTGTGAAATGGAGTATTCCCACAGCTCCGGACCCATTTTGAAATCTCATTATTACTGTGCCAGAGGGGCCTTTGGCATTGTAGCACACCTTCCTGTTTCAGTACTGTTTACCAAAGTTAATTGAGTTAACTGCAGGGAGCTGCCCATTTCATTTATAGCTACAGTACATGCTTCAGAGTCAAGCACAGAGGCGGCAGCAAACATGTTGTTCATTTGAGTTGCTCATGCAGTGACTGAAGGTAATTGGTAATCAGGTTGTTCACTAAAACAAACCTTAGTCAATATGGGTTGAAAAATGGACCCTACACTCCTAAAAATGAAGGTGCCAATAGAAGGTTTTTACAGTTATATAGCATTAAGAACATTTTAATAATCTAATGAGCCTTTTTTTCAGCTACAAGGAACCTTTAGTGCAATGGAAAAGTTCAACGGATGTTAAAGATACTAAAAATAACCTATATTTTTGTTTTTGCACTCCTGGTCTTATTTGTACTGCTTTTACCTCACAATAAATGCCATT